AACGTGTAATAAATGATGAATTTTATATATCCATTGACATGGTAAAAATGAATTGTGATCAACAAAACCTTAAAATCAAAAAGTAGCTAATAACTAATGGCTAGTATTTATTTGAACAATAAAAATATTGGAATGAGCAATAATTAAGATGCGATATAGCAATAATTTTTGAGCAATAAGAAAACTAGCTTTGAGCAATTTTATAATATTAAATGTGCAATAATTAATTCATTAAATAGCAATAGTAATTTCATATTTTAGCAACAAGAAAAGGAAGAGTAAGATATTTTTATTTACAGTTGACAATAAAAAACAAAGAAAAATGAAAAATTAATATATTATTGTGTTAATAAAGCTTTTTTTGCTTCAGCTGGTCTTTCTTCTTTTCTTTTAGTATCAATATCTACATCTTTTGCCTTTGGTGAGGGTTTGCATCCTCACCCTATTATCAAGAGACTAGTTCCATATCATTGTCACTTTCACTATCAGAAATATACTGCATTACGCGTTGTGATTGAGCCATTTATATAAATTATATATTTTTTTTTATAACATTGAAAAAATACGGTTTGTATAAATAAATTTTTAACATCAGAATTTTCCTATTCCCTGTATCAGAATTGTCCCATTGATCATCTTGAAAATTTAAATAAACTATTGCTCATTCAGTATAGTTATTGCTGATTCAATATAATTATTGTTGAATCTAATTATCGCTCATTTCAATTATTTTATTGCTCAATTAAATATAAGTCATAACTAACTTAATGTAATAAAATCGACTTATTCATCCAAATTCGAAAAAAAGCTACCTAGTTAATATCTCTACAAAATACATACTTAGCAAAAGTCGAAGCAGTTGCTTGACGAACATGTATATCAGGGTACTGTTGTTTTAATTGTTGTTGTTCAAGATAAGTTAATATTCGAAAATCAATATCATCTATAAGTTGAGCTAGAGCAAACTATTTTATATACATACAAAAAAAAAATTATTATAATCATAAATTTCTTTTATCTACTTTAGCAAGAACATAGGAACTTGTACTATGTTGAATAGAATCTTTCAATAATTCAATTCCCATGATTGTAAATGCATGACTATTAATTAATAAAAAAAGGTAATAATGTTCGTAAAGCATTTAGTGAAAAATGTATAACACGTGAATTATTATCATTAAGACATATAACCTTGAACTGTCTTTTGAATCAGTTGATACAAGTGAACATTGATTAATAAAAGAATTTGATAATGATGATAGTGTTAAAAGATAAATTGTTGTTTGAATTAATGTAACAAGTAAATTTGCACATGCACCACGTAAATGTAGATCACCGTGTTCGCATAAAGATAAAAGATATGTAATATCTTAAAAAAAAGATACCTTGATGTTCGATAAATTTTAATGTATTTCAAGTCATATAGAGATGGGAATTTCATTTTTCTCATTAGGAAATTTCATATCAATTACAAAATTATATTTAATCAGAAATCTTCAAAGACTAATGAAAAACTCCTTAGAGGATACAATTGATTTCATATCTCGAACTTCGGCTTAGAACTTTTTTGAGGTAGTTATGTGATTGTATAATTTCAATCTCTGATGTATTGATGCAGGCTTTGAGCTTCAATAAAATGTTCTACTTGACATCTTTTCGAGTCTGATAATGTTCTAGTCTATTGTTGATACCAAAAAAATTAATAATAGGAATAGGACTAGAGTTGCTGAATCAATATTCAGAAATCTCCGTTCTTGAATTTTCAGATTCCAATATATATATACGTTTCAACAATTTAATAGTGAAATTGTCATATCTATCAGATAACTTTCACTAAAACTTTGAGACTTTAACCAATTGAAGCCACGTCAACTAAACTCTGCCACAATCTCCTTCACCTAAGCCCTCCTACTATTACGACATTAGAAATAATTTTGGATTATAAAATAGATCTATTTTACTGAAGTGAAACTTTACAAAAAGAAACCTCAAACATACTTTCAATAAGGTAATCAAATCGACCAAATTGTTGATAAACACGATAGACATGTTGGTATAGCACATTTAACACTAGCATGTGATTCATCATCACTTTTTATCGTACCATCCATATTGAGTATATATCTAATCGGAAAAAAATATAATTGATGAACAAGTTTAGCAGCTGATATTCATTTTTTAATATTAATCATTGATGTTGAATCTAATTCATCATTCATTTCAATAAATCAACGTTGATATGTTGAATAAGCTATTGCTTTAGAAAAAAAAATTCTTGTTTTTTTCTCAATATTTACCTGTTTTTAAGGCTTCACTAACACAAGTTTTTTCTATAGATCCAATTTGAATTGAAATTAATAATTGATCAAAATCAAATAAATCTAAATAACCAAGTAATTGAATAAGATTTTTTATTTAACCAAGATAATCAATTATTAAATGTGTACTAGCATTTTGATTTTGATGTTCAAGTAATTGGTCTACTAAAATAAAAGACAATTATAATGGATTGAAATCATTATTTTGAAAGAAAACTTACTAATAGCATTTGTCATTAGAAAACGTGCCATAACCATGGGATAACATATTTGCTGAATAGGGCATGAGATGTTCCTAAGAATAATTTAGTCATTGATTATATATTTCAAAAGAAAATTATTTATTGTTAATAATAGGAAAAGAAAAATTCGTTCTTACTCGACTTCATACTTTAACTATAACGATAGTCAGTGAACTCCTATGACTAAACCATTCTTAAGTTGCATGAAACACTACGCTCGATTACTTTTGAGGGCAGATCACTTCAAATTACAGACAGTTTCTCAGTTCGTATTTCGTCAAATAGTATCAGACTGCCTATTCTACATTTTCTGAAAAACATCCTCTCACGCTAGAAATTTTAACCGAAACATGGTAGAGCAATTCTTTTCTATGTTTCTATTCAACCGTATGATATTTTTCTGATTACTTGTTTAAAAAACTTGTCTTAGATGACAAAGATTTTTGTTTTACTTACTTTAATTTCTTTATCATTAATCGGTCGACCAAGACTACGAAAAATAAGTTCATAATATTCTGATAAAATGGTTGAATCTTTTTCGGATGTATTACATTTGCTAATTCGGCAAATCACCACAGAACACCTAATCGAAATTAAAAAAAAATCCTTATTATTAATTTAAGTCAAATAATAAAAATAACCTTTCAAAGCATTTGGTCCAACATTAGGATTATGTTTTATAATTCGATATAATTCAACTTGAATTCTTGTTGAATCTGCTTCTTTTAAATTCTATTTTATAATTCATACAAAATTATACAGAAAAAAAGAATTTCTTTTATAATACTTTAACAAATTTATTAAGATTTTCTTCAGCAGTCAATCGTACATTATAATCATTTTCATCACATGTTGTAAATAATGTTTCCACGTTAGCTTTAATTAATTTAAAATAATTTTCATTGTTACCTCTAAATGAGAAGAACATTCTATAAGAGATATAAACAAAATGAAAAACAGAAAAAGATCCAATTATTTACTTGATTATTAATGTTTCTGATGCTGTTGTTGAAAGTAATTTTAAAAATTCAAGTGATTTATTTGGTTTATCCATGTTGTTTAATTTATATTCAATTCATTTATTTTAAGCACCACATTATTTAATAATCATAACGAATGAATCGACTGAAAAAGCCTAACATCGATTGAATATTCAGAAACACCATTGACATTTCTGTTTCTTTTCATTAATAGATGGCACTACATTACGTCTTTCTAAAACAAGACTGTATAAAATGAAAACTTTTTCATCAACCGATATTCTTATAACTAAAATATGCTTTCTACTACACGTTCAACAGAGATATGTTTTGATCTTGTAAATACTAAAAGTGAGTCTAAAGCCATTATTTTTCGCTGGTGTGGGTGGGTGTGGATCAAAGTATTTCATTTATTGACATCCTCCCATCTAGAGTCACGCTCTTTGCCACAGCCATCGTTATGCTACTCACCCACAGCCCACACTCACCACATAATATCTACTGATTGTGTGGGGAAAAAACTTTTAGGACTCCAACAACAATGAGAACAACATGAATAAATTCTTTTTATCATATTTCGTTTTCTTTGCTTTGAATGACAATGCATTTTATTTCCATTTTGTTATCTCTTGTTTGCTTGATGCACAAAAACTTCGTCAACACTCTTGAAACAGAGAAAAGATAAGAAGTCTTTCATGCAATAAACGAAACGCGCTCACTCTTAAAACAAGTGGCTACAAAAATTACCAACAAAAGGAAGAAAAAAGCAACAATATCTATATATATAGAGAGAGAGAAAGTGGGATGAAGTATATTTGTCTTCGTATCACTATCGTCAACTAGCATTTACATTTTTATTCACTTATTTTCGCTCGTTAATAAAGAATACAATTAGTATCGAAATGGACAAAAAGAAATCAACATCAACTGCTAGTGGATCATCTTCTCCTTCCACAATAAATAAACCAAAAAAATCATCATCAACAACAGCAGCAGCATCACTACCAACAACAACGACAAGCAGAAATGCAGTACTTCCTCAAACTGCTCGTCGGATTCTTCAAAATTTCCTTTTGGTATGGCTCGATGCCAATTTGCAAGAGTCAGATAAGGATTTTAAAAATTCGTTGCATCATCTTCGAAAAATTGTGGCATCCATCACAACGTTTACGGATGCCCAACAATGCGTTAATTTCCTAAGTGAAATCAAAAAAGAAAAGGTATTTATGATTGTATCCGGTTCTTTGGGTCGTCAGATAGTACCAGAAATCGAAGCATTGCCACAACTGGAAGCAATTTATGTGTTTTGTGGTAACCAATCGGTTCATGAACAATGGGCTAAAAAAATAAGCAAGGTTAAGGGTGTATATACTAAAATAGAACCAATTTGTCAAGCACTTGAAATCGATCGACAACGATGTGATCAAGCTATGATCCCGATCAGCTTTAATGGTCGTGATGCTTTATTTATGTATACGCAATTATTAAAAGAAGCGCTTTTGGAAATTGAAGACGACGATGTCAAATCGATTAAAGATCTCGTAGAATACTGTCGTCTGCAAAATGATGTTGATGAAGATGAAATAAAAAAAGTGCAGCGAGAATACCGAAACCAGACACCAATTTGGTGGTATACGGCTCCTTATTTCATGTACTCAATGCTGAATCGTGGCCTTCGACAAATGGATGTTGACATCATCCTTAAAATGGGATTTTTCATCCGTCATTTACATCAGCATATTAAAGAATTACATAGTGAACAACAAGGGAACATGCCAACAAATTTTCAAGTCTTCCGTGGACAAGGTTTGTCCATGGAAGATTTTGAAAAAATGAAAAAAACCAAAGGAGGACTTATGTCCTTCAACAATTTCCTGTCAACAAGTCGCAACCGTGAGATATCTTTCAACAACTTTGCACGACCAGCAGCATTAAATACAAATTCAGTTGGCATCCTCTTTATTATGAACATTGATACGGATATTTGCACGAAATCATCAACACCATTTGCTGAAGTGAGCAAAGTTGGTTACTACAAAGATAAAGAGGAAGAAATACTATTTTCAACACATGCGATTTTTCGTATCGATCGCATTGAACGAATTCACGATAATCACTCTGATCGACTATACGAAGTCACTCTCACTATTGTCGGTAATGACAATCATGAATTGAACACACTTACTGCACACATACGGAAAGACCTTGGTGGACGAACAGGATGGTCTCGACTTGGGTACATACTTATTAAAGTGGGCGAACCTGCAAAAGCTGAACAACTCTATCAAATTCTCCTTGCAAAGACGTCTTCTGATCAAGATCGAGCGGAATACAATTATCAACTGGGATGGATATATAACAACCTAGGTGAATACTCAAAAGCACTTTTCTATTACGAAAAATCACTTGATATCGACAAGAAAATTCTCTCTCCAAATGATCTCAGCTTGGCTTCTTCCTATAACAACATCGGTATGGTGTATAAAAACATGGGCGAGTACTCAAAAGCACTTTCATATTATGAAAAAGATCTTGAGATTACCAAAAAAGCTCTCCCTCCGAATCATCCCGACTTGGCTGCTTCCTACAACAACATAGGTAATGTGTATGATAACATGGGCGAGTACTCGAAAGCACTTTCATCGTATGAACGATCACTTGAAATCCGTAAAATAGCTCTCCCTCCGAATCATCCCGACTTGGCTGCTTCCCACAACAACATCGGTCTGGTGTATGATAGCATGGGCGAGTACTCGAAAGCACTTTCATCGTATGAACGATCACTTGAAATCCGAAAAATAGCTCTCCCTCCGAATCATCCCGACTTGGCTGGTTCCTACAACAACATCGGGTTGGTGTATAATAACATGGGCGAGTACTCAAAAGCACTTTCATCGTATGAACGATCACTGGAAATCAAGAAAATAGCTCTCCCTCCGAATCATCCCAACTTGGCCACTTCCTACAACGGTATTGGTTTGGTATACGATAAAATGCGAGACTATTCGAAAGCACTATCATACTTTGAGAAAGCACGTGGTATTTGGGAAAAGGCTCTCCCTTCAAATCATTGGTATATTTCACATGTAAAAGGAAACATTGAAAATGTAAAAAAGAAAATGTAATTGTTTTTTTTTCGATTTTAAAGACAAAATAAACTGGCCATCTTGAAATTTAAGCTCGCCGAAGCAAGCAGCTGCAAAATTTCGCGCACGCGCGACCAGAGATACCCTCCGTATTCTGCTGGCTCGTACAGTGGACAAAGCCGGCAATGGTTAGGCAAACATACATCGATGTACGTATGAATAGTACGACCATGATCATCATCTTCGAAAAGACGATGACGAAATGGACGCTTCTATTCATACATACATTGATGTATGTTGTGAAGGCCTACCATCTGCACGCCTGCACGGGTCACCAACAGAACGTCGGATATCCCTGAGAAGGTTCAATTGTTTTAGAGCCACCATCAAAAGCTCCATTAGTTAGAAAATTATTTTTATTCTTCTGTTAGGAAGAACGAGAAGAACGAGAAGAAGTAGAAACGGAAAGACGCGATAAAAGACGACGTCGACGTTACGGAATGATATACGCAGCGCATGATAACAACCGGTGTTTGTCAAGCAATGGAATCTTGAGTGCACGATATCTTTGTCGTCTTTAAACATTTCATGTTCAATTCGTCTGAGTTTTCATCTCGAATGTGTAAGAATAACTTGAATGTCGTGCACTCAGCATTGAAGCAAACGAACGATGATTGTATGAAACGGCGAATAAAAACAATACATTCGCCGTCAATTTGAGTAATAACTCATGCACTACATATCCTGAAATAGAGATAAAGAATAGAAAAAGGGAAAATTTTAAATATATATATTTTTTTTACATTTTATTATGATATCTGATGGTTACATTAACATTGATGCTCAAAAAAAAAAAAAGATATCATTTTTCACAGCACCTCTTTTTAAATCTGAGAGAAAAATATACCATTCCATGTGTCGTCATCTAGTTTGTGGAAGAGTGAACACTG